TGATATTTGGACTATGCTTGTCCTTTATCTGCCTCTGCTATTGCTGTTGTAGAAGAGAACCTTATGGCTATTCTCGAGCATGCTATGCTTTGTCTCTTATCTCCCTCATTTTCTTTACCATTGCTGCAATGTAATCATCCCTCTTTCTCTCTTGGGCTATATTTACATTCATTTTTTTATGATTAATAATTTCATGACATCCTCAATGTTGCTCTGCAATTACAGTGCAGGATGTGGTGTTCTGTATACTGGTCAGGGGAAGTTTCACAGTATTACAACACGCACATTGGAGTATGTAGTTAATCAGGCAGATGTTACCGCTGAAAACCTCAGGAATGTGTCAGATTATCTTGCTGCGGCTAAGAATGCTGGTGTATTGTCAGTTTTTCTGCCAACCAGTGTCCGAAATGACATTGATAGCATTCAAACAAAAATCAACTCCTCTGGTACTGCTCTTTCCAGTACTACACAGAAGAATTCGGAAGGCATACAAGATGTTTTGGATACCATGTCCGTAAAAACTCTTAAAACTTCTTCTGGTGCTTGCTTGGTTCTGGATTTTTTCATAACGGCATTTACTTTTTATTGTGCATTGCAGAAGATTAGTCCTGATTATCCTTGCTGCTGTAATGCTTGCTCTGGCATTTCTTGGATTTGGTGAGTGTTGTTTTCTTGAACTAGAGGTGGAAATTCTTAAATTATTTGATCTAACTAAATTCTTTTCTAATATTATTTCTATGATGACGTTGGTTGCAGTATTCTCCATTTTCGGGATGCAGTGTCTTGTTTACTTGTGAGTGATCTGATCTTTCAGCCATTTTCTGTTAATTTTTTTGAACTTAAGAAACAATTGTAAGTTAAGATTATGACTCTGCCCAATGTTACTGTTTATTGACTGTAGCCTGGTGATCCTTGGCTGGATTCTTGTCACGTGCACATTTATTTTGTGTGGTGTATTCCTTCTCCTCCACAAGTAAGCTCTTCCTCCTATTCTTTTGATTTAGTTTTTTTAAATCTGTTATAGGGCCATGCATAGAGTTTATACTTGATGTTCATTTTTGAAAAAAAAAAAAAAAAATTTGAATTAAGTTTATGTTTAGATGCCTTGTATATACATTCTGGTGTTTGGATGCATATACACATGTAAATGTTGGACTTAATTGATGCGCAACAACACAGAGCTTCTTGGACTTAATTGTAGATTTCCAACATTTTCAAGTGTTGTAGTTGTGTTTTGGGTAATGCTAGAGATTCTTATTTTATTTTTTTTACAGAAATTCCTTGCAAAGTGATATGCATCATGCCATTGATGTTTTATCAATCACTTGATTCCATGGTTAAAATTATCACATGATCTACATTCCATGATTTGAAATTTTTTCCCAATATATGCCTAGTCACTTTGTAAAAAGATTTAGTACCCCTAGCATTGCTCGTGTTTCTGCATCGCTCTGGTGTATGGAACTTCTTGTTCTTAATTGTAGATTTCCATATACACACTTGAACATGTACTTGTAGTTATTAGTTTGATGGTTATCTTCCGTGTGTTTGTCCGTGGCACCATAAACCCATTGGTAGTGGGCAAAAATTCAGTACCCATTGGTAGCGAGCTAGAATTTTCATTTTCATTAGGTTACTTAGTGATAGGCTAACTTGTTATATCCCTGACATTTCTCTTGATTCTGTTATTTTAACCAATTCTTGAACTATCTGCGCCTTGATGAACTGTTCTCCCTGCTAGATCATGATTGTAATGAGTTCAACCATGCGTAATAATCAATCTTTGCTGATCAAGAAATATTCCTGAAACCAAATTAGTTAGGAATTTTGCAATCCAATATCTTAAATTAGCTTTTTATGAGGGGAAAAAAGCCCTATAAGTTATGAAATTTAGAAGGCTTTGTTTTCTTGTGAATTTAAATTTTGATTTGGCAATGTATCTGTACATAGATAGGAAATTCATTTCCAACTCTGCAAGAAACGAGTACTCCTGAGGTTTCTAAACTTATTTGCTTCTAAGATCAGGTCTAATGAAGCTGCATCTTAGCACCCGAATAACTTTACACCTTTAAAGTTTGTTTGATAACATGCTCTGCTGTTATTTTGATCTACCAGTTAGTTGAAGCTAGTGTAATTTAGAATCAATAATTTAAACGGTACAAATTTGAAGCTCTCTTTAAAAACAAAATTATCTTCTTTCTTAAGCATGTCGATACTTCTGCACACCGCATGTAAAAAGAGACATTTGCACTGTTGTCTTGGACTTGGAAAGTGTTTGAAAGTGTCGATTTGTCATGTGTACTGTGCTTCTTTGTTGAGTATGTGTCCCTACCTAAATGTATTTGTTTTTTTTTTTATCTTCTAGTGTGGTTGCCGATACTTGTATTTCTATGGATGAGTGGGTTCAGAACCCCACTGCCAAAACAGCTCTGGATGATATAATCCCTTGTGTGGACAACACAACTGCTCAAGAAACCTTGAGGCAGACAAAGGAGACAACTTATCAACTTGTCAACGTTGTTGATAATATCATCAACAATGTCTCCAACAGAAATATCCCACCCCAAGCAGGAGCTCTATATTATAATCAATCTGGTCCGCTAATGCCTGTACTTTGCAACCCATACAATTCTGATTATACAGATCGGCAATGCGCTGCTGGTGAAGTGGACTTAAGCAATGCTACCCAGGTAATATATGTGAACATGCATGGTGTCAATAGAAAGGCTGAAAGCATTTTATACATAGGATTTGCTGAAGATTAGGCCACCATGAGCACATCCCACTAACAGATGCCATATGACCTAATTTTAGTTTTAATCTTTGGCCAGAGTGTGATGTTTGCATCGTCTTATTTTAGCCCATGTTAAGTTTTCCTTGTCATGGAAATTCCAAAATCTTTAAAGTGATATTTTAGGGGCATTTTTCTTGTTTTTGTATTTATGTGCTTTTCGATTTTGATTAAGATTATAAATTCCAGTTCAGACCTCCTTAGTCAGCTTCTGCATACAAAACACCACCTGACCCGCAATGTACTTTGAGAGTATGGCACTGAAAGGCTTAGTACCATTGTTTTCTGTAACGAGCAGGTGTGGAAGAATTATACCTGTCAGGTATCATCTGGGATTTGTACTACGCCTGGTCGGCTTACTCCTAGCTTGTACAACCAGATGGGATCTGCAGTAAACCTAAGTTATGGGTTGAATCGTTATGGTCCATTCTTGGTTAACCTGGAAGACTGTACTTTTGTGCGAGAAACGTTCACCCAGATCAACAATTCTTATTGTCCCGGTTTGCGGCGATATACACAGTGGATATACGTTGGGCTAGTAATTGTTTCTGCCGCTGTAATGCTGTCACTGATCTTCTGGGTAATTTATGCAAGAGAGAGAAGGCATCGTGTATATACCAAGCAGTTCGTGTCTACCTCCTTGGAAGGCCCTGGCAAGGCATCATGAGATGCTATCTAGTTAACAAGGTTGCTAATTAGATCTTGTGCATATCCTGGATCGCTTGCTGTCCAATATTTTTGTACATTATGCTATCACCCATAGGCTGGCTGAAGTATTGTTAGTGTATGACCAAGCACAGCTCTTTTCAAAGGACTCGCTCTGAGACCACAATGGTGCCTGCTGTTTTGTCACCTGTAAGAAAAGGGTTATGATTTCTTGGCTTTTTGCTTATATGATCTAAATATGGTTTCTCTAATGGAGCCTGTTTCTTGTATAGCAAGCCGTTGTATTTGAGTATGGTTCTCGAAATTGATTTTTATTTGCGGAAGATAAGTTTCTGCTCAAATTACTTGTGCCTGCACGTTAATTTGCCAAGTCCTTGGGCTCTCGAGAACTGGTTAGAAAATATTGCTCGTAAACAAGTGGTTAGAAAATCACACTTTTTGTACAGAGGCACCAAGCAACCATCTCTTGCACAACTGGGTATTCAAGTGTTTGATGGTACAGGAAGAAAAAGGACATGGCGGGATCGGTGGCTTCTGTACAAGCTATCTCATAGCCATTCAATAAATGATCCCCAGC